ACGACGACGACTACTACTACTGCGAGCTGAGGGACGCCCCAGAAGTGCAGCCCACGGATCAGCGGCACCCAGATTGGGAACCAGGAGGCCTTGTCGGGTGGTGGTCGTGAGAGAGACGCTTAGGCTGAGACCAAGCCGTCTACTGGGAGCTCAGTTTGGAACTACAAGGAACTCAGACGAGCTTTGAGGCTGCCTCAGCCCGAGGCTGACAGTAGCCTTATGCAGGACTCACGCCACCCAACAGCTTCAGTTTAACAACGGAACTGTCAAACACACAGACTCAATGACATTGTTGAACACACGAGTTGCAACACAAGCCAAGACAAAACAGGGGACGTGGGCTTGTGCTGGAACATGCTTTAGAAGCGGCGCGCTGTTGCGTCCTAACCAGGTGTCGAATCGACAAGCTACTGTCTGACTGTATCTGTTGCGGGATGTAAAAGTGGGTATCTCAGCACGAAACCCCTCAGTGTACTGAACGGGCCTCGAAAGTGGTCGCCCATATGTCCGTTGCTTTCGGGTCGCAGACCGCTGCCTGCGCAGCGACAACCGTTGCTACGGTTACGATTATTGCTAAATCATTGCTACTAGTGGTCCCTGTTGCGTTTACGGAACACTTATGGTAACTTTTGCCATCTGTTGCTACTATGCTGTTGTCCGGAGATGCTTGCCTGGACCGGCATGGCGCCGTCAGTAAACCAGTCGAAATGTTCAAAGGCGCCGATGCAGAACTCAAAGATCAACTTCAAAGACCAGGGGACCTGCACGGGGAAAGATGCGAGAACGTTCCAAAGAGCAGATTGGGCATGATCATCTCCCCGTAGACCCTAAACCCAAAGTGTTTGTACGAATGTGGGATGTCTGATGCCTAGGTGCCACTGGAGTCAAGGTCTAGTCTGTCGATGCCAGTGGACACTCTCCACAAGGCCACGCGCAAAGGTTGAGCTTTTCTGAGGTCACGGGCCACTAGCTTTAGACCTGCGGCATAGTCATTAGTCTGTTGAGGTTTAGGCCTGGGGTTGAGGGCTCACGAAGTTTGAGAGAGATATTGTCCATCCAGTTCGTGGTAGGCAGAAGCTGCAACTTCGGATAATCACCGGGTCCCCGAGCCGTAAACACTAACCTCGAAAGAAGATCGATTCAGATTGGCACCCGTTAACTCTGGCCAGCCACCACGGGTCACCACGACACTGGATCACATGTCGTGCCGATAACACCTTTTGCCCAAAGTCTCGAATCAGTAACATCACCACGTCGCCTCGCAGGAGAGTAGCTGCTTGCCAGCAGTTTCTAGATCCTGCTGCATCTCGTCGCAGACCTCACAGCCAAAGACACTAATGTATTATTGCGTGCTTAAGCAGACACACTACCTACCCGAACGCACAACGTCCATTGTCTTCCCGAAGAATTGACATTGAATCTGAGCTTTCCCGGTCTGTGTTGTCTACTTTGACTGACAAGGCCTCGAGCTGCTGCAGCAGCTGGTACTCGATGTACTTCGAACGCAGCAGCACCGGGATGTACAGTAAGTAGACCCAGGTCGGCGAGCCTCCAGCGCAGGTGGTCCAAGGAGCTGCCACGAGGGGCAACAATGGAAGCAGCCACATCAGACGCATCTCACATCGCAGCTTGCGACCGACCTCCGGGTGCATGTTCTTATTAATCTGCTCCTTCGCTTTCGTCCAAGCTACCCGTTGGTCTGCCGCTGCCGTTTCCAGGACTTGACTCAAACCTTCCACGTCCTTCTTCCTGTTTGACGTCGTTCCACAGGAGAAGCACGCGTCAGTTTGCTGTGGCTGGTCAAGCTGGTGGTCAAAGGCCCAGGGTGTAGTCTGGGCCGCTCGCTCTTGGGCCTGTCCGCGTGCTTGCACCAGGAATTCACGATCGTCTTTGGTCATGTCTTCCTCTTGCACCGCAACCTTTGTGCAGATGCAACAGCACATGAGCTGGCAGCACAGGCATAGTAGGCCAAGCACGGCTGCCAGAACGATGGACGCGACGGTCCATTCCTCCATGGCTTCGACACACCCCTCTAGCTGGCATTCCTTCTGAGCCAACCCTGGCACCGAACAAGAGAAGAAGATAACGATGATGCATGAACCGTTGATACTGCTGACCAATTTCATGACTACGATCACCAGTATCATCGCCATCATCACCATCGTCAACAACAACAACAACAACA